TAACCATTGGCTAAAATTGTTTTGTGGTTTTTTTTTCCCAAATCTGTAATACTTCAGGCTTTCAGTGAAGTAACTTGTAGCTACCTCTTTTATTTACAAGGGGGCTGCAATGACTTGATCAGTGCTTCCTCAATGACTGATCAACACCCTTTGAAACAAGTTTAGAGAAGATATATGAAATATTCTGGGTCTGCACTGGGTTGTCCATGTGCTAAATCAGCAGAATTAGGGAACCACCAAGCATGCTAATTCAGAAATGTTCTTCCTTCAATCTTTCAGCCAGGCTGCACAATATTAATGCTATTTATATTAAGAAGGGACTTGTTATTGAGGACTGAGGACAAGCTGCTGCTCAAATATTGTAACGGGTTGGACTGGGTTGCAAAGGTCACTTTTCTGTTCCCTCCTGTACAGCCACAGGGGTACAAAAAGGTTATTTGTTTTCCTTCCCACTACTTACAATTTAAAGCCATGGCAGACACACAAGACCTGCCTGATATCACTGGAGATTTGTGTTTGGGTAACTTGTGACCTGTTTGTGATTTTTGTGTGAACTTAATTAAGTAAACATAAAGATATTTCTTCAGGAGAGCCCATTTTCCATAAAATGGGATGGGTGTGTTGTCTTCGTCACAACATTGTTGAGGGACAGTTTAAATTAAAAGGAACGCACTAGGAAGGAACATAGGAATTTTAAGTTCACTGCTGCTAGAAACTGTTCAATGTTAGGAATGGAATGAAAGTCTGAATTATGGGTCCAGTCAAACCCAGGATAACAAACTACATGTTTTTTTACCTAAGAGGAGCAAAGGAAATAGATCTGAAGTTTTCAATCCCTCTCACTACCTCTGATGGTCAGTTAAGTGACATGAATTGTAAAGCAAGCTCAGGAGCTACATAATAAACCAGTGACTATTTTATATATATATATATATATATATATATATATATATATATATAAAACGACAAAGTATGCAGGCCCTTGTATAGGCAGGAGTGAGAGGCTGTGTGAGAGCATGTGGATGAATGCTTATGGTGCACTTCCCTGAGCAAGTTGAAGCCAACTCTTTAACATATTCAGACATAGATGGATCATGTTTCTGAGATCACCTTTTAAAGAACTCTTCAGTATAGAAATGCAGCAAAATTCTTCCGGAATTTTTCTAAGGAGATCCTTCAACCCAGAGTGTCTGAAACTCTGGAGACATTTACTGAGAGACACTTTTGGGCAAATAGTACAAAAAAGATTTCTCAAGAGGAGGTATTTGATGACTGCAGCAGGTGCCTCAAATGCATCCTGCCTTGAATTGGAGTTCAGATGGGCAATCAAGTTAAAATTTTCCACACTTTAGTGAGCCAAAATGACTGTTTGTGGGCATGTCTTTAGTCATTGAAAATTACAATGCAAGGTTGAACAACATCCTCTTCTATATGGTGGAGGAAGAAGGTGTGCAGCTGTTGAGTGTGGTATTGTTTTGTGTGTGCAGCCGGGCAGACAACTGAAGGGTTCTTAAATCCATGCCTGACTTAACTCAGACTGTGTCTTTCTTTACAGTTGATCTAGGCTGAAAGCAGGCATGAGGACAGCTGCCATCACTCAGTTAATGTGCAGTAACCTGTTACTTCAAATAGACAGTGTGAATTTAGAGAACTGATCCTACCACCTAAACCCCCAGCATACATCCTGTGTAGTCACTTCCTTTTAAGTTAGAATTAGAAATAAAGAAAGAAATGTATTTTTGAGTCCTCTGCTGCAAAGATGGAGACCAACATATATGGATTCAGAGGCTCCCTTGTGGCAGCACCTAGACTCTGGCAGTGGGTGTGACCTTTTGAATACCTCCCTTTATTGACAGCATTAGGAGAACAGAATTCTGTTCTGCAAACATGCAGCAGGTTTTGGAAAATGACCAGGCAGGAGATTTACAGATAAATCTGAAGAACTCACTAAAGGTTAATATCTAAATTTAAGTAATTTCCCTGTTTCCCTCTATTAATATTTTTCATACTAGTGGACTCCCAATTAAATTTTCCTGCTGAAATTACTTCAGGGCATTAGCTTTGCCCATTTAAATATCTTTTCTATTTCCTCTGGTCTTAATGGTGAGAGAAAATATTTTCTTAATCATTGTTTTAAATTCCTTTAGCTCTATATTTGGAAAACATTATAAAGTTCATTTTAAAAAAGCCTTTTGGAGAATTTTTTTTTAAATTCCAAGTCCAATGTTACTATTTTACACAAAATAGTAACGTTTTTCTTACATGGAAAGTTTTTTCTTACTGTTGGCACACTTAATGTGTTTAATTCTTAACCTTTCTTTTTTTTCTCAAAAGATTTGTAACTGTCTGCATTCCAAAATTACATATTTACTCTTAGTCAGCTTTCTTTCCTAAACAATTTAGCTTTTATAAAACAGAATACCAACATCTCTTAGGACTTGCTTTATAACAGTCTTATATATCTACTTTACTTTTCAAAAGACAGAGGGCAGTTTCAGATAAGAGGACACAGGATAGGTAGAAGCAGATTGAATTGCCAAGTATTTCTACGGGGGTATTCACTGTATATTTGGTAGTATTGTTACTGTCTTTCCTATCTGAGCTATCAATTATTGGAGTAGGAACTAAATCTTAAAGGAATTGGCCTATATCTACATAAATATATGTCAGTATAAAACAGTTGAAATAACAATATGCATCAAAAACTACCATTTCCATATCATAACTACAGGCTGATACTGCTGACTCTTTGGATAAAAACTGTAGAGGAAATATACATAATTTATAGAAATCTCAGGTCATGGGTGTTTTCCACAGAAAAGCAATTTATAATTGCCTTTCTGTGGAAAACACGCATGACTTGAGATTTCCTTGAAGCAATCCTTTGCTGAGCAATCCTTTATCCTATCCATTGCAACTTTGCATTCACTAATCTCCCTGGGCTTTGCAAAAGAAGGAAAGTGTTACTATCACATCGCAGCAGGCAGGAAAACTAAGGTGAAGTAGCCTCTTCCAAAATTTGATGGAAATGGCAAGGGAGGATGAAAGGGACAGGGATTTTACATCAGTGACAATCTTAGTTGTAAGCTTTAAAGTCTACAGTACTGCCAGCTTCTCACCTAGAGGGTCCCAGCCTTTGGGAAGGTGGAAGGCATGAAGCTGCCTGGCTCCACTGCCCTGGCATTGCACTAGGCTGCACCTGACTGAGTGGATGCACAGAAGTCCTCTTCCTTGGCCTTTCCTTGCTACCATCATGTTGGGATGGAGGGATGCCTCTAATGCCAGGATGCAATGCAGAGGACACCACTCTCCACATGCAGTGAGCTGCCTCCTCCCAGCACTCATGCACTTAGTGATGACAGGCAGAGAAACTGGAGTTGGTTCCCCACCCTGCCTTAGATGCGTGTGTCAGACCTCTGAGCTGTCTTTGGAGCTGTGTCTGCACCGCACTGTGCTTCAACTGATTCCATAACATGAATCTTGGAAAGGCCTTTTAACTTGGGAGCAGCAGTGTGCAAATGTGTCTCTGCCAGTTCCAGACTTTCACTGCTAATGAGTTCTTCCTGTGCTGCTTGCTTTATAGAGCCTTTCCTGCTGAGGCCTTTGATAGATGAAAAAATTCTTCTACTTTTTGTGTCATATAGTGTGGATATATGCTAAGTATGTCAAATCCACAAGGTAAAATGACAGCACTGAGCAATCAGAGTCTAATGCACTGTATGTTAACATCCCCACTTAGTTGTCTGTAATGGGGAGTATGATCCCTAATTAGTGCAAAACCCACCATTCTTGTTAAACTCTGGTCTATTTTAGCAATAAACCCCTATTGCTAAAATCACTTCTCTTGGTCCGGTATTGGACATGGTGGGAGTCTATATTTACAAGTATTTATCAATTACAAAATTTCAACTCCCTACAAATTCAGAGTGGTAGTTTTTTACAGACATCCCTTGTATCTGAAGGGGAGAACCTGTCTCTTTAAGAAAAAGGGATAATGTCATCTGTTCTCCATTGCATGTGAAAAATGAGGGAATTCAGGTTTTAGTAGCTTCTTCCAGGAATAATGCTACTCAGGATATAGAAATTCAAATCTTGGGCTGGCTAACAGGACACAAACCTGAAAAAATTACAAGTAGGTTTAAATTGCTTTTGCAGTAAGCAGCACAAACCGCTGGTTATACATATGCCCCATTACTCCAGACTTGCTATTGATTCTGCTTGCTAACTGACTTCTGCTGCTTCACTAAAAGATTTTTACTGTACATACATGGTTAAATATTTTTAAAATGCAAGCAATGACAATGAGCAACAAAAGTTCTTTCAGCTCAAAGCAGAATAAGAAAATCAGGATGGAAGGGAGAGTACTACAGAGGCTAAACCACTGTGACTGTTCCATTCTTATTAGGAATGCATAGAAAGGTATAAATCTCACTTTCCAAATATTTCTTAATGTTGCTCTAGAAGAACTTAGGAGTTTAGCATCGTAATGGTGCTAAATGAAATGCTTTTATTTCATGAAAGGTGCAGAGGAAAACCCAAACATTTCTTAAGGAAAAATCCTTTCATCAAAAAACCTGTATCTGCCAATACAGCCCACAGAGTATACCCATGGAGACACAGGACCATGGAAAGTTTAATAATGAAAAACTTCACCATTTTAGAATCTTATTTAATTTTGAAAAGCAGCAGTTAAAAAAAAAAGAAAAAAAGTAGCATTGTACACTTTTACATGTGTAAAATAATAAATGTAAACCAATTTAAACTGCATTTTATTTCCTGTCTAAAATTACCCAATGTAGTAAAATATATATTTTTTTTATTTCTCCTATGCTTAGAGGTTCCTATGCTTAATTGATATTATATTGTATGAGTAGTATAGGTCTGGGGACTAGTTACAGAACATCACAGTGCTGCTCTGAGCTTATCTTAATCCAGACTGTTGGTTCTCTGTGGTTACTTGTAGGAACCATATAGACAGACAGGTCATGATTATTCCTTACCAGCTCATTGCTGCCATCCTCATCAAAATCCTCCTCTATCCCATCAGTCATATCTTCTCCATCCCCATCTGCATCTGGCCCTCCTTCAATTGGCTCTTCCGTAGAGTTATCTGCATTCTCTGATATGCATTCCTCTTGAATCAAATCAGCATTATCTTCCATTTGTTTCTTTTGGGCTTCTGTAAGGAAAACATACTCTATGGAGATTCAGTAACCTTTCCTATTGGTGGCAAAGGAAAGTGCTCTGCAGAAGAAACCTAAGCTTCCATCTCCAGATGTGCTAGATTTGTAAAATTCTCTGTGATAATATCTACCAGGCAAATATGATTGAAAACTTTTCTTTCAAAAATTAGTGCATAAATAAATCACAATATCAATATGATCATCTACCCCATCTATGCCATGCAGTGGATGAAGGCTTGATTTGCCAGGAGATCCAGCTTTTTGATTTTCTGTACTTGACTTTGCCTTGGAATTCAATTGGCACAGTCACCAGATGTTTATTCATGAGCAGCCAATGAGAAGTACATAAATATCTACGCTCTGGGAAGCAGAAGGCTGTTAATTGCCAATAAATGAGTAAGAATTTGTGTTAATTTAAAGTGAATATGTCTTAACAGTCATACAGGTAATCAATAAATACTTTTAGACAGGTAAACATATTTTTATGGAGTAAAGTATCTGTTACTCATCACTGGTATAATGTGCTGAAATGTCCCCCTCCAATCAACCAAATATTGGCTTCCTATATTTTCTGCAAAGTGGTAAAAAGAAAGGCCATTTCCATGGAGGCCTGAAGAATCTATTCTGGTTGAATTCATGAAGGTAGCTGCGTTGTTGTGACTAGGTATTGGTAAACTCCTGGATATGCTGAAGAACTTCATCCAAACAGCAGAAATCCAGAGAAAGATTGATGGAAGAATGACAGAGACTGGCTAGAAGAATGTTTGGAGGGATCAGAGTCTTATTTCTATGCATGTCAGGAACTTATATGAAACACTTTATGTACTCAGAGTGAATCAGGCCAGAGAATTGGTTGCATGAAGCTAGAAAAGTAATGTCTTTTCAGTCTGAGGGTGATCAATGACAGAATTTCTAGAACAAAATATTTCTTCCTTTGTAAGACTGACTGCTCTGTAACACTAGTAGTTCATTACCTATGTTGTTGGACAACCAATGAATTAAGTGTTGCCTTGAAGCTCTATATTTTTGAAGCTCTATTATTTTTTTTATCATAAGTTATTACCAGCTACACATACTATTCAAATCGGATGGCATTTTTCTGTTCCATAGTCTTAAACCAAGACATTTGTTTTACCTTTTGACTTTGCACATTTATTTTGCCATTTACATTCATCTCTTTAGCCTTCATTTGTCTTTAGTCCCTCATTTTCACCTTCTCTTACTGGAGAAACAGAAAAATTAAGCTTTCCTCCCTCAGTCACCTAATGTCTTCAGAAAGGTTCTTAGATTTAAAGAATACAAAGTCATCTTAGACAGCTGCTCCAAGAGTACTGTAGTCATATATATTAGCAGAAGATTCACCCCATGGAGCCTTATCTTCTATTGGTAAGGTGCTCCATACAATGCCAGGTTAGTTAAAAGCGATTGTGTTACTTGCCTTACGCACAAGGAAATATGGATTGAATAATCTATGCCTTCTATGTCTGGCCCTACCACTTCCTGTCTTAAGCCATTTCTGAGGTCACTCAGCTCTGGCAATGACAATGAATCAGTTTTAGTTAAGGCTTTTAAAAACAAGGTTGCTGAATTCATAGACAATACATTTAAATGGGAAACCATCTAAGATGCAGCTGCTAAAAAGTTAGGTCACTTACTTAATTGTCTTAATGAGAACATAGACTGGGTTCTTCAGAGAAGGCTAAAATATTGTCTCAGTACTCATCTCTTCTGGGCTCTTCTGAGAAGCTAAACTCAAGTACCTAACTTTGAGCCTAATTAAAGCCTAACCTATAATATCACAGGAAGATTAGTCTCTAAATTTTTTTTTTTTGCATGTCAGAACAGCTTATTCCCAGCTTCTTGGTTCAGATTTTTGCAAACAAAGGAGCTATTTCTACAGTTTTCCTATGTACAAGAAATAATATTTTCTATATTACCTCTATTGGAAAGGTTAGGGGTTGATAATAGAAAAAGCCAGATCATCAGCTTTTACTGCAATGAGAGTTTTCATGCAGCTGTAGAGCAGTAACCGATATATGCACTGAGCTTGTCCAGCCTGTAACATCACATTCCTCCAGATGTAACAACTTTTGGGATTAAAAATTAAATATTCTTCAGGAGAGCGAATCAAACTTAGAAAACCAAAAGAGCAAGATGACGGCTTGATTTTTGCTTTGTGCAAATGAGAAACAGATCCTCTCTCTGATCCCAGTCTTAGTGAGGCCACACCTTCTGGCAGAGGAAAATAATAAATAACATTGCCAACCATAGAGAAGTAACAAAATCATCTCATCATCTCCCGTCTGACATTCTAAATAAAATAGTTCAGCTACTGATGTAGCTTACACAAATCTTTTTGAATCTTCGGACTAATAATCCAGACTGCATAACCCTCTTCATCTGCTCAGGAAACTTAAATGAGGTTCCATTCTTACTGGTATCTTTGAGGTGTTTTTTTCCTCACACTCTCCAATGAGAGGCAAAGAATATGAAGGATGGGTTCTGCACCTGATGTTTTAAAACATCAATGTTTTGAAAACATTTTTTAACATCTGAGGATATTCATTGCATGTCTTCAGAAGCCAAAAGACTGTGATTCAATACAAATCATTTTTCTTTTTGACCTGATTTCTATTTAAATGAGACCACTATAGTTCTTTAGCAAAAGTGAAAATTGAATATCAAAGTACAATGCTCTGCAGATTGTTTTGCATAGTAATGGATTTTTTATAAAAACTCCCCAAGGTAGCACAATCAAGAATATTTCAGTGCACAAGTAATTCCATGGAGTGCCTTGCAATTATGTCTTCACCAATTATACCAACTTTATCTAACTTGCATAAAGTACAAAATAGAACCTAATGAATACATATTTGCACAGATCTGAAAGAGATAATCACAATCTCTACTAATGGTTTACCTTAGACTTGAAAAAAGCCCTCAACTTTGTGAGATAAACTGTAACATCTGGGGGACCGGTTCTTGTCTGTCAACTTAGAAAATGATTGTAAAGAAAAGGTAGGTTGTTTTTCAAACAATATTTTTTTAAAAAGTACTTGGGAACAGGAGACATCCATATCTAAATTCCTTTTTTGACTGTGTCAGGTTTATAACCCTCAACCTCTAATTCCCAGTAATGTTTTAGACAGTCTTGATGGAATTCTCTTAATGTGTCCTGATGGGCTTTTGGCTTCATGTAACTGACTACTGTCCAGACAGCCAGGCAGTTGTGGGTTCTGAGGCAGAATTTCTTTCACACATTTCACACAAAATTCAGAAAAAGGTTTTATCACAGAATGGAGGGGTGAAAGAAAATAATTGAGTTTTTCATGAGATAAGGAGTCCATGCTGACTCTCACAAAATCAACTCACTAATATAAAGCTCCTGTAAAAATATATATGTCATCTATAAGGAAATAGCAAAGAAAATACCATAGACAGGCATAAGAACTGGGTTTGTTTTTTGTATATGCTGTGGTGAAAATGCAACCTTATCTCTCAGAATGACTTTAAAGTGCTGCCTGGTGAGATCATTCATCTAACAAAATGAATTATGCACTGACTTCATTAAATTATGAAGTAGTATTGGATTTTTTCATTCCCAAGGTTTGACTAAAACCAAAACTTTTTAAGCCAGAAAAAAGCTAAACTGGAGCTGTAACCAGTTTTATGAAGAGGCCCAAACTTCACTCAATAACTGAGGCTGGAAAGTATCTCTGGGCTCTCCAAGTCCAATTCCTCTTCAAATCAGAGACAAACTCAAATTTTAGCACAGGTCCATAGGTCCATGAGCCCAATGAGTTTTGAATGTTTCCAAGGATGGAGCCAGTATGGTCTCTCTGGTCAACTCACTATACTTAGGTGCATGATGCTTAGGTGCATCTCTTTTCCTTATATCAAACAGATTTTTTTTCTTGCTTCAGCTTGTGACTATTACCTCCTGCTTATTGCCCAGGCAATAATTCTTGATATACACCAGCTATTCATACTTAATGTGCCTAGCACAAGCATTCCCATGGTCAAAAATGTCTAGCTTAATTCTGTTCAGTCAGTTTTTTAGTAATGTTTTGTTTCCAGAGCAACTAGAAAGATTATTTTTTCCTACTACACCATTAAAGACGATTCTTAAATGATGATGCATGTTCTGTGAAGAATATTAATCTATTCTGCCAGTAGTTTTACCTGAGAGTTGATTTACCTTGCTTCAGGCCTCCATTAAGTACCAAAATTTCAGAAAACTTCCATTCTCTTTGGTCTGTCTTGCTTGACTAGTAACAAGGTTCTAATTTAATTAATTCCTCTAAAAATGGCTTTTACCTACCTGCTTCAGCTTTTTGCTGCTTTTCAATCTTTTCCAGTCTCCCTAACAAGGAGTCAATTTTTGTTTTGATTTGAGTTAATTCTTTCTTGATTGTTTGCAACTCATCTGATTTCACTGTGGAAAGAGCAAAATGCAAAACATGAAATAAAGTATATTTGTGGTAACATTCCCTCCCCCAAACAAAACATGTTCTTTTTTTCTTTTCTGTTTAGTAGAAATTACACTCTCTCATTTTTGTCAATATTTTCCGAGATTTACCTTTTAAAATTAGCATTGTTAGTTAAAAATGCAGAATCCTAGAAACCACAGGATTCTAAGCCTTATTGGCAAGAATCCATCGAAGGTGTGTTGCTCAGTAATAGTAATTTCAGGAAAAACATCTCAAAAACATCTTCATAAATCCAAGTAATTTTTACTTAAAAACAGCCTATAGTGAAAGAATAATTCAAATCTGATAGACCTGTCACAGTCTTGCAGTGTTATTTTGCTGTACTCTTTTGTAATAGTATTGACAATAATAAATAGATCCCCTACAGTATGTATTTCTCAGCAAGAGTGAATGGTAATATAAGTGCTAGGACATCCAGGAATGGAAGGTTATGTTCCAGTCAAAAACTCAGTGCAAGAGGTGTTGCGTTTTGTTGCTTCAAAAGCTTTCAGTTCAGTTTCAGTTGGCAATTTCTTGTACTTTTTCCAGCTATGGAAAATATATGAAAATATTTCATTTTATGACCACGTCCAAGGACATGGAGGCATCACCTATAAATTATTAGCTGAAGTTTCCAAATTGTTATTGCACTGCTTTACTCTTCATTTTTGTTTATTAATGTGCTCCCATTGTCAAACCCAAGAAGGAGTAACTGCTTTGGAGATGTTTTGGCTTCAAAGGAAATAGTGCTACGGCCCTCATAAATTATCTCATTATTTTGGCATTATCAGAACAGTGTTGTATGCTCAGAAGGTGGCCCAAATAAATACACTTGCCCTGTTTGTGCTAGGATATAATGTGGAAAAGATCAAGAGGAGAAAATGGCGACTCTATGCTAGCATGGGAGAATAAAGCCATTTATAAAGGAGCAGAGCAGGAAACAGAGGTTTCACTCTTACAATTCTTATGGGAAGAAATGGACCATCCCCATGAGGGACAGGCCGTGGAAGAGCACTGAGCTGTGTTACTCCTCTACCACTGCTGTAGGAGGATGTGCATTGACTTTGGTGTGTGTATTGAGAGCATGGATACACACAACAAGGTGGGTCCTTATTGAGCCTGGGAAAAGGGATGTTCTGCAATGAAGAAGAACATGTTCCCTTTCTGTCAAAAAGGTCTTCTGGCTGCATCTTGCTGCATCAGTCTTGTTCATTGATGACATTGGCCATGTCTGTTATCATGGTGGCTCAGGTAATTTGTATTGGGCAATCAGTCTTATGATGAAGTGTGAAGACAAGATATTGCCTGCTTCAGTGGTAGTTGATGAGTAAGTGTTTGCTTCAAATTAGCCTTATTCCAAACTTGAAGTATATTCACTGAGGCTGAAACCAAAGATTTTTATCTTAGAATTTGGGCATATATACTGTAATGTGGGTTATACTGTAATGTGCATTATAGTATAACATGCCAGCTAAAGGCAGTAGGTTGCTAAATGCAGTAATGCACTTGTTTAATCATGCTCATATTGAGAAATTGCATTATCTCACAGTACAGGCTGAAACCTCTCATCTCAAATGGAATGAACAGAAGGACTTAAAGAAAAAAGTGTAAAACTAACCTGTGCTAGACTCTTATATGCCATACAGTATTTGATGAAATTATTTTCTGTATTTATAGAATGAGGGTTTAAAATGTTCTTAGAGAAATAACGTGTCATTCTCCAATCCCACAGATCTGAAACAAATTGTTAAGAGTCTGACAACTATATAATTAGAAGATTACTGATTCCCCAGGGACAGTGGCTGGTCCATCTTGGAGTAGCAAGGTAGCTCAGAATCCAGAGTGAAATGGTGTGAACTGCTCCAATGGGGAATGCTAAGTGCTGGCAGCAACCCACTATGAAGCCTGTTGGCAACACGTTCCGTGCAGCCAAACTGTTATGTTAGGGGTGCTCCCTTGATCTGCAAACTGCAGGGTGGCCAGGCCCGAAAGGTCAGACCCAGAAGTGACACTGCAGGGACCTAATGGTATTTGTTTCCAACCTACTAAGCAAAGCAGAAAACATTTGCACTTCTGAGTTTGACAAGGAAATATGCTCATGCCTGGCACTGCTGTTGAGCTCAGGTCTGCTGCACAGGGGCTTCCATGTGATGTCTCTGGAAGAAGTAGGCTGGGAAGAAGATGGCACCAGAAGGAACAAGACAGCAATGAGGATTCAAGGAACAAACCCCAGTGGTAAAGGACAAGGGGGTGCTGGGCAAGAGATGACTGAACATGAGCCAGTGTGTGCCTAGGTGACCAAGATGGCCAATGGCATCCTGGCCTGTGTCAGCAACAGTGTGGCCAGCATGACCAGGGCAGTCATTGTCTCCCTGCACTCAGTACTTGTGAGACATCTTGAGTGCTGTGTCCAGGTCTAAGCACCGCAGCTGAAGAAAAACTGAGGTGCTGGAGAGTCTCCAGGGAAGGGCAATGAAGGCAATGAGGCTGGTGAACAGTCTAGGAGGCAGTTCCTATCAGAAGTGCTGGAGGGAGTTGGGGTTGTTTGGCCTGAAGAAAAGGAGGCTCAGGGGAGACCTTATCACTTTGTAAAACAAACTGAAAGGAGGTTGTAGATAAGTGGGGGGTGTCCACTTCTCCCAGATAACTAGTGATAGGGCAAGAGGACATAGCCTCAAGCTGCACCTGGGCAGGTTCAGGTTGGATGTTAGAAGTAATTTCTTTATGGAAATGGTTGTTAAACATTGGAAATGACTTCTTAGAGAGTCACCATCCCTGGAGGTGTTCAAGAAACCACTATGTGATATTAATGTTATGGTCTAGTTGACAAGGTAGTGAGCAGTTAAAGGCTGATCTGGACAATCTGGAGGCCTTTTCCAATCTAAATGATTCTATGATTCCATGATCATAGAGTCATTTGCTTCAAGTTAACACTAAAAAGGACTGAAAGAAAAGAGAAAAAAAATCTCAACCAGTCTGCACAAGTGCCGAACTTTCACTCTCTTTCCAATATTGTGATGTTGTAATTATTTGAACTGCTTACTGTTTTACCTTGCAGAGGATTGTACAAGTCTTCAAAAATATTCTCCTAGAGAAATTCCACTATTAATTATAGTGTAGTGGGTATTTCTGTAGTAAGCAGCAACTACTAAAGACAAATTATGAAGAACCCTGATGAAAAGTAAGTTGAGCAGGAGCCAGATCTTTTCCTTGTCCCAGTTTAATTGCATCCAGCAACTGAGCACCACACAGTTGCTCACTTCCCTCCAAAACCCAGAAGGATGGGGGGAAGTGAAGGAGGGTAAAAGTGAGAAAACTCATTGGTTGATATGAGAACAGTTTATCAATTGAAATACAATACAATGATGATAATAATAATACTAATAATAATAATACCACCACAACAACTACTACTTCTACTACTACTACTACTACTACTACTACTGATGATGATGATGATGATGATGATGATGATGATGATGATGATGATGATGATGATGATGAAAACAACAGAAAAATAAATTCCAAGAAATAAAAGCAATGCAAAAGAAAACACCAGCAGATGCCCTGAACAAACCCTGGCCAGCCTTCCCCTTAATTCATTGTTGAAGCTGATGCCATGGCCTGGAACATCCCTTTGGCCATCTGGGGTCGCCTGTCCCAGGTGTGTCCCCTCCCAGTTCCTTGTGCATCCCCATCCTGCTCATTGGTGTCATCAACACTGTTTCCATCACAAATTCACAACACAGCCCCATAGTAGCTATTGAAAAGAAAATTGACTCTGCCCCAGCCAAACCCAGCACACCACTCTACCCAGCACTTGTGAGGCCACATCTGGAGCATTGTGCCCACCTCTGGGCTCCCCAGTACAATAAGAAATGAAGACGACAAAGCCAGACTCTTCTCAGTAGACCTCACTGACACATCACAGACCCTTGGCATAAATAAAAGCATGTGAAATTTCATCTAAACATGAGAATTTTATTTTTTCTTCCCATGGGTGTGGTCAGACACAGTCCTGGGAAATTTGTTTTGCAGGGCACTTGCACCAGAGGAGCTCCAGAGGTCCCTTCCAAACTCAACCATTCTGTGAGTCTGTGATAGCACTTAGCAAGAATGTCAGGCTCTTAAAGCAGTTTTATGACAAAGATAAAATGTAAAGATTATAAATTCTGTGCTCTAGGTGTCCTGCTTTGACTATATAAATTCTCCTTTAAAACATAATGTATTTTTTTTTAAATTGATCTCAGGCAAGAAACAAAGCCATTGGTAAACATGACACATGACATGCATGTATCCAAAATATCTGTCCATATGTTTTTGAGCAATAGAGTAGGAAATTAAGGTAACTTACTCTTCAAGAATTTTTTCCAATTAACAGATAAAATAAAGGACAGCAGATAACAGAAATGTACATATTGAAAGAGAGAAAAATTATTAATGAAATTAGTAATGGCTAAATATCTTCAACAATTCCAATGCAAAAATGTGAATAGGTGAAATTTGCTGATGACATGAAATTGAAAGATATCACTTATTCAGAGTAAACTGGAACGGAAGAAGAGGTCACGTGATTTAAAGGAATATTACACTAGAAAAAAAAATGATGAGATTTCACTGAAAAAAACCCCTAAACTTAACAATAGAAGTTCTACTCTTAGCACCAAGGCTCATCAGCAGAAGAAGACAGTGACAGAGTTATTCTTCGGTTGATAACAGAATACCACTATCTGTAGCCATTTTCCAAAGGAAAATGCAGTGCTGAGTGTGTCAAATGATGCATTGCAAGGATGGAGAAGTGTACTGTCTCTGTATGAGGACCTGGTGAGTACAGGTTGAACCACTCAATTCTAGCAGGTACATGTGAAGATGACCATAAAAATGGAAAGCCTTTAGTGTGACAAGCATTTTTCTTGTTTGCTGAAGACAAAAAAAGGTAAAAAGAAATAACAATTTTATGCTAAGACAGTGTTGGACAAAAAAAAAAAAAAAGAGAATATGAATAAATGAGAAACAAACTAACCTGGAAAATACAAGAAAGAGAAAAAACCCAAACCCTAACTATTTTTAAGATGTATCATAAAGGATTAGATGATGATGCTGCTTGCAAGAGTAAGGAATTTGTTTCAATGACCCTTTCTAGCCCTTCTAGAATCTTTCATTGAAGCATCTAACACCAAAGGAGACAGTCACATACACATTATAAGAGGAATAAAATTAAGGTGAATTGCAGTTTTAAAAATGAAAGTGCTACTGTTGAATTATAGCTTTTTGTGAAACATGTTTTTTGCTGTAACTGCAAATTGATTCATCCACAAAGCATGATTTAGATTTCTTTGAGAAGAAATGTCATGTATTTTTAAGTAAGCCCTTCATGTTTAATAAAAAATATTTTATCATATTTTATTACTATAGATATCACTGAAAAATGGATCAGCTGAGGAAGCTAAATATAAACTCTATGAGTCAAAATTAATTCATTTAAAGACATAATTCAATACATATTTTAATGTCTGAAGTGTCTACTCCTTAATTTCAAGCACACAGAGTGTAAAAGATTTGATTAATATTTTCCTACTGATTTCAGATGTGTAAAATGACAGTGTACACTTTGAGCCCTTCAATTTCTACATTGTAATAAAAAATGACCTCTTCCCAGTTCTGAATAGCAATTTGAAGGTACTGCTTCGTACCATTAACATGAAGAAGTACTATGTGTGATTTACCCACCAATATATTTAATTTTGTGAGTTACTTCTGGTGATTTGGAAATGATTTATGTTCTTCTAGTCTTTGGAGTTAAAAAGAAAACAAAATATTGATAACTGTTCCTGGAAAAATTATGGATTTAGGAAAGAAATAAAATCTTCCTAATGTATTTTATGTTTTATAAGCAGATTTAAAACACATATTGTCACTTTTTGGTCAAACAGGAGTTTACTGTGCTGGCAGATATTTTTTTTGCAGATATGCTCATCAATGAGTAAGGCATTTTTGATATATGTTTTTTGTAATATCTTCGCAACAATAAATTTCTTCCTTTGGATTTGTGTTTTTCTGAAATGAGTCCTTTTGATTCTGGTGATTTTACCAGAATGTGAAATCTGATGTTCTGACCTTTAATATCACATGTATGGGTTTATTTTCTGGGTCTGAGTGTGAACAGTTATATCTATGAGATTTCTACTTACGTCTGAAAGGTCTCTTAAGGGAAGTGATCTCATGAGAGTTTTGCTGTATGGGGGTGAAATCTTCAAGGCATAGTCAATACCATTTTGACATTGCTAATTCTAAACTTGCATTTAAGGTGTTTTACGGTCTTAAATTTCATTAAACGCAAAATAGCTTCCTTCCCATGAACTAGGTTTCTCCTTATTGAAGAATTTGTTGAATGTTTCTCCTTATTTACCTAACAATAAATTAACATTAGAATTGACAGTGCATTAGTTCAAGGGGTTCAGATTAGCAGTGTAGAGTAAGGAGCTACAAAATATCAAATTGCTTTCTCCCACAATTCAATATAACCAACTTTTTCCAAGAAAATGGCAGAAGAAGTTGCAAAACATACCTTCTCTACTTTCCAAACTAAAGTTCTAAGAGAATGGCTCCACTACTTCTCTGATACAGGTCTTACAATAAGCTGATTACATTCCTGTCCAAGTCAACAAAATCATGTTTCTACATTTATGATGGGTTGACTGGAATTGACAAAAAGCGAAGTAATTTTATGGGAAAATTAGGCATGAAAACCTGTATACTGGGTGTCTGACTCCTTTTAAAGATGTGCTGCATGCAGAAAGAATATTTTGTGCAATTTATTTTATCACAATAAAAAGTCTGCATTTTTTTCCAATTTTCATTGTAATGAATTTAGGATAGAAACCTAACAAAGGTCAAAAAGCCCATGTTTTAAGTGATGCATCTTACAGCTCTCTCTTCAGTAAAGAGCTTGATCCAAGGATGATCTTGTCACTTGGAGCTCTGAGACTGACACTTAAAATTCAGATCACACCTGAATACATTGAAGGATACCTCCACTGGGGAATAACACTGTCTGTTTGAATCTGGACACTCTCAATTGCACTTCCATTAAATAATTTATAGTTTCTGCAATATTTGCCATATTTTGCAGGCAGTGTTTTGGAAATCTTATAGCAAGTGCTTGTGGATACTTGGACTAGGCTTGAATCCTATAATCTATGCTATGCATTATTTAAGTCCTGACACACTATTACAAAGCATTTTTTGAACTGTAGAAACAAATTTTGCAGTAGTTCTGAGGAACATATATCTGGATATTAATGTAATATTCTCTGCCTCATTCACTACTATAGAAATTCATATTTCTGGTTGAGAGCTTTTCTCGACATCTGTTGGGATACGAACACTAAGATCCTCAGCTCTCTAGAAGAATTTTATAGCTATTCTTGTTCTGAACAATGAGAAAAATATATAAAATCTTATCTGAAAATAAACTCTCTTTTTATGGCAAGTGCAGCAAAAAAAACCCTCATTGTTATTAATACATACTTTAGGACAATTAGTCATTTGAATGTACTGATACTACTAAGTATTCATGTAGATAAGACAACAGAAACTGATGAACAAATGAGATCTAACTAAAGCTTTAATTCACTTTGTGAAAACACAAAGATCCAAGGACTGAAAAGGACTAACAAAGTTTCCTAAAGTGAAGATCTTGAGCTGCATCCTTTCTTTTACAATAATAGAAGAAAACATAATTGATCACTTAAAATACTGAGGAAAGGGTTACTTCAAGATAAGTATGAAAATGTCTAGATTCATGTTCATCTTCCAGAGAACAAAGGAAATATTGCTACTCCCAGACATTCTTTTAGGGTTTGAGTCAGCTTTATAATATGACACCTAAATTTATGTGTCTTCCAGTGTATTAGGCATCAAAGCTCTTGTTAGTGGTTATGGACATCCAGCCCATTCATTCCCTGGAGACTTGATTTAACAGTGATTTAACTGTACACGCAACAAGGCCTCTCTGTCAGATCATCCTTTCCAAGGAATGTCTTGAGCTCCTTGTTCCTGAGTGCACAACATCAGCTATGTTTACCACATGTCCATTTTCTCAGTCACATGCATTTACATGTTTACTACATGTTTTCATTCAGGGTCTCTGATATCGTCGGGTCATGCAAGAGGATCAAGGATGGATCCTAATGGGCTCACGAGGTCCATCTTCTTTGTTTGATACTAGCATGTAAGACTCGACTATGTTATTCAAACAGAGTATATGACTGGGTCCTCTTGATGCCATAATTAACTCCTCTGGCAGTAAGATGTACTGTTGATGGGTTCACCTATTTCATGGTAAGACAGCAAGATGTTTTGCTGGCCACTCTGGTACTGCAAAAGACTTACTGAAGTTCCTTCATTCCTTCTAATATCTGATCCCTACCTGATCTTTCTCTTCCTCTTCCAGTGAAGCTTCCAAGGACAGTATCACTCCACAAAAGGGGCAGGGGAAGACGGGTGGGTGCTGAAAGATGCACGAAGAGGAAGATGAAGTTCCCAGGACATACTAGGGAGTGGGGAGCTTGGTGAGCTTGGAGGAGGGAATGCCTATTGTTCATCAGCTCTTCTAGGGCCAACTCACTAAAGAAGGATTAAATAAACCCAAGTTGCCAATCCTGTTTTGAACTTCCTTTAAAACAAAGACGCTTTGCCTCTGTCTACACTCGAAGGAGTCCGGTAAAAAGAATACACATAGCCCAACCTCCCCTGCCTCCCTGCCCCAGTCCACCCCTACCAGCTTACATACAACCCTGAGGTCTCCACAGAAATCAATGGACTTCTGTCTGTCTGTCACAAGATTATTATTTTTTTGTTACCAGCAGTTCATGAGATCTCATGGTGAATGAGCAGTCAGGTTGAGAGGAGATTTTAAAAAGCCCTTTTCTGAGGCTGAGGGAACAGGTCAAATGTTGAATTTCCTTTAAAAATGTCATCAATGTGTTCCTTGACTTGCAGGAGAGGCTGGAAGCTTTGGTAATCAAACCAGTTTTTCAAGCTAGAGATTTCGGCCAGGAAATTACTGCAATAGGGCTATCTATATAGTGGAAGCTGTGTGTTTGCAGAAATTGCTAGAATCATTGTTTCAGTAATATTCAACTGATATGAGCAACTCACATTTGGATCCTGAGGAAGAAGCCCCACTTGAAGTGGACCGTGATGTTCCCTTCATGGAGAAAACCCCTTTGCCTCTACGAGTTGTTGTCACAGCCACCCGAGGACGTTTGAGTGGAATCACTGCACGGGGCGGTGGGGGGACACGGCCATGGTAATCAAACAACCTAGAAAAGATTAAGTCAGCTGGACTCCATAAAACCCTCTGTGATTTCGTGTCATGGGAGCTCTGTCAACTAAATTTGCATGTTATCTGAGAAAATTACCCTTTGAAACTGTAATCACTTTATATCAAGTCAAATTAGATTTCAAGGACCTATGCACATTAAGTGCCTTATTCAGATTTCAGTCACACACTGGTACACAGACCAGCTCAGATTTTTTGTGTGTCATTCAGATGAAGGATGTATTATGGGACTCTGCAATTTGCCATATGGAAAATCCATAGCTTGCTTTCCACAGGTCCACATCATTTCATTGTTCACAGCCAACAGCAATATATTTTGTTGTGACATTTCAGCTCCTTTATTACATGCATGGTTTAAATTCTAGTTTTCTATTTGCTATTCTTAAAGATGTAAAAGTAAAGAACAAAAGAGAACTTTCCTGAAGACAACCATCACCCTAAAGAAATATCTTGCAGTTTCTGAAATAACAAGAGTCTTTGCATATGTTCTCTTTATTGCAGAATGAATTGGTGTGGAAATGCTGAAATACCCAAGCATGCTTAATAAATTAAAAAAATATTGTTCAAACCAAAACCACTGTAGCAGGCAAATATTCAGACTTTTTACCAAAGATACTCTATGACAAAAATGAACTTTTGTTCCCAAACAGAATAGCCTAATCCTAATGATACAGTTATTAATAGCAGGTAACTAACCCGTGTAAAGGGAAATAAAGGCAGTAAAAAAGGTAATCAAAGCTACAGATATTCTTAGAACATAAAATATATGGATTCTGGATATGATAGGTCAAGAGAAGAAAGTTCAAAAACCAAGATTTCCAGTTCACAATCTGAAGCAACAGCCTCATAAAATATTCTCAAATTTACTTTCAGCTAGTAATTATGGAAATTTATAACCACATGCTTAATTTTCACAGTTGTGAGTACTGTCACCTGGCTGGGCAGATAGATACACATTTGAAAACAGACACACAAGAAACAGTAATTCACTCACCACAGCATCTAACAGTATGATGAATAGAACAGAGTTAAATTTGAATCTTCTAACCCATTTTCTGGTAAGTACATACATAGTACTTAAATCAAACCACACTTCTGTTTGTACTGTAATCCTACAGACAGTTTAACCATTTCTCTCCTTTTCCACAGCTGCCTACAAAATGTGACACAGAGATCCTGTTACACTCAATGACTGAAATCCATGGCCTCATATATTCCCACAAATGAGCAGCTTTTAGCTATTGTCAGCATAACTAAAGAATTCTGTGTGAAGATGGACACTAAACCATCTTTTTCTACTTTTAACACAAATATTGGTGCTTATTGCCAGTTATCATTTATCATATTAAAAGATCTGCAGGTTGGTCATAAACTCCTTTTTGATATTACTGGGAAAAAATGCTTCTGAAGTGCTATAAGCTGTCATGAAAAAGTTCATTATATGATTATTGTCCAAAGGTGATATTTTTTTAGCTTTCAATAGTTTAGATAATATAGTGAAAGGTGAAACTATGCTTCCTTTTCTCAAAATATATAAAAGCATATTTATCTAAATGACTGTTATCAATCTATTCCTACTTTTGTTTATGAAATCATGCAAAGCTTTTGGTCTTGGTATTTTGTTTTGTCAGGTTCTGTATATTCCAATAATATGCTTTCTTTTAAAAAACAATGCTTCCATTTATGGATTTGAACTACCATTTGAACCATGGTGATTGTTGTAGTGCATTTTTATACTTTGTAATATTCTGAAGTAGTTTTGTTTTGTATCCCCATATTTTTCCCAAATGGTTTATCCCAAACTGTGCTCCCCTCTCTTTACCTGTGTTATCCCTCTCCCGGGATGAGATCATCCCCAAACCCCCACCCTGACTCTCTGTCAATCACTCAGCATCCCATCCCTCCATCCAGAAGTTTCGGTCCAAGTCGTCGAGTGATTAGCCAGAGGCTGGGAGTCCGCCCCCCAAGCCTTGCCCCATACGCTGTCCTAAATGTCTATCCCCCAGCATCCATCCCTTAGGGTCACTTATTGGTTGGTAAAATGTTATCTACTTTTGGTTTCCACCTCCCTTTAAATGTAACCTTGGCACATCTCCCTTGGCTCTCGGCAGGAAGCCCCCTGAGGTTCAGGAGCTCCTTCAGGACTCCTAATAAAACCTTGAATTGACCCCTGCTAAGAGTCGGCCCTTTCTCTTCTACCGATGTCTCTGGTGTCTCTTGTGCTGCAAAGGCGCCCAGCCCAGGTGCCCTCAGCACCCTCGGGGCACGGAGAGTGTCTCCCCCCAGCCCAGGTGCCCTCAGTACCCTCGGGGCACACACAGACAGTGTCTCCGCCCAGCCCAGGTGCCCTCAGCACCCTCGGGGCACACACAGACCGTGTCTCCCTGCCAGCCCAGGTGCCCTCAGTACCCTCGGGGCACACACAGAGAGTGTCTCCCTGCCAGCCCAGGTGCCCTCAGCACCCTCGGGGCACAGAGAGTGTCTCTCTGCCAGCCCAGGTGCCCTCAGCACCCTCGGGGCACACACAGAGAGTGTCTCTCTGCCAGCCCAGGTGCCCTCAGCACCCTCGGGGCACAGAGAGTGTCTCTCTGCCAGCCCAGGTGCCCTCAGCACCCTCGGGGCACACACAGAGAGTGTCTCTCTGCCAGCCCAGGTGCCCTCAGCACCCTCGGGGCACACACAGAGAGTGTCTCCCCCCAGCCCAGGTGCCCTCAGCACCCTCGGGGCACACACAGACAGTGTCTCCCTGCTGTCAGCCCAGGTGCCCTCAGTACCCTCGGGGCACACACAGACAGTGTCTCCCTGCCAGCCCAGGTGCCCTCAGCACCCTCGGGGCACACACAGACAGTGTCTCCCTGCTGTCAGCCCAGGTGCCCTCAGTACCCTCGGGGCACACACAGACAGTGTCTCCCCGCTGTGGCCGTGTCGGGGCTGCCCCCCGGTGTCTGCCGACTCAGGACTGGCCCAGGGTTCCTGAGAGGCTCACAGAGGGACCGAGACAATGGTTCAAATCCATAAATGGAAGCATTGTTTTTTAAAAGAAAGCATATTAACATACAAGAAATTATAAAGAAAAATGCTCAGTCCCAAAGCAATTCTTTGCCCCAATAATCACTAGTGTGCATACAACTATGCTTTTTCTTTCAGTCACCCTTCTAAATGTACAGTTTAATACAGTCTTGCCAATCTGTCTTCATATAGATTTTATTTTAAAGAACTATCCATTCCTGACACCCTTTTTTTGACCCTATCACTGCTTTAGTCAAGGTAAGAAAGACATATTCTCTCTTCAAGGAGTCTGGAAAGCTAATAACAGGAATTAGCCGAAATATTAGGAAACAAGATCTATGGTTTGGGACAAAACATAGAAATTCAGAAAGTTCAGAAGTTCAAAAATTCAAAGAATCATGACTATATTTCTTAATTTATATTTCCTATAAGTAGTTTGCACACCAAATTCTCCACAGGATTTTCTTTCCCATGACTACTATATTGAGATTTTCATCTTTCCCTTCCATCTTCTGGTATATAAAAGAGACTATTCGCCTCATACAGTTTTTATTTTCAGAATATCAGCATGTCCAGCCTAATGAGGCCAACCTCATATTCAGGTTTTCTACCATAGAAGTTCTGCTGTCTTAATTCTGAAGGACTTCTAAATTAAAAAATTATACTATTGAATAGATCTATGGATACGTTTCACTGCCAGTGGTTTTCCATAACAATGCAATTGTCAAGTGAGACACCAAGAAACAACCCTTAATGTCCAATAAGTTTTTTTAATTTTTTTTTTTGGTGAAAATTAACCATTACATTTTATCATTTATGCTACACATAAAATACAGAATTGAGGAAAAAACTAGACATATACCTTTAATATTCATGTGGCATAGATGAGAAACACTATTCTGTTTAAAAACATACAATTCCACAGATGAAATTCAGAGCTTGGAAAAAATAAATAAAAGCCTATGGAAACTAACTTTTTACAGGACATGTGCTACTCCTACTGCAAAGGCTGGACTGAGCAGGATTAAACTGCTTTGATGGCTTTTACTTCATATGTTCATGTGCTATGCTGTATCTCACTATTTCTAGCTTTGTCCAAAGGGGGCATGGTAATTTATATGCAAAACTAAAACTAGTGGCTCAAATTGAACACACATCAGGAGAAAACAAACATGAAAATATTGTTTCCACATTTTTCCTACTGTGTTCCTAGCAGAAGGGCACATAGCACATATACCTAACTTAACTTCTGGGTGTAAACTGTCCCCCTGCTACTGTCCATTGCTTTACATATGAGAAATATCAGATTAGAACAGGTTGGTGGAGCAATGCTTTGTTCCTCTCTGGCTCACTTGTCCTGTGACAAACCAAGCTGCTGTAATGAAAAAAACCACAGCACTGCTGGCTAACAAGTTGGTTATCTGTGACCATTCTTGTTATTCCTGTGTTGTGAGGATTCTGCTACATCTGAATAAATACATTTTCACAGTGCTGAGCTAGGCTGTGTGTAACTACTCAAGGCAAAATCTCCAATTGCTCAGGCATCCAGATTCTTTTTGTCCCACAGGAACACACTGTTCAGCTTGTGCTTTTGCTTCTTTCAAATTTCTTCTGGACAAAGCCAGGAACGTCATACTGAAGAATTTCACAGCCACTACACATCCTAGTGAAAGTAAGCCTGGAAGAACTCTACTAAACTACCATTAAACTGTTCAGCACAGCAAATACCCCAAAACCTCTTAGAGAAGGATAAAATCTAAGGACCTGCATAGTAAGCATACATTTGGTGGTGGTGATCTTCTCTGCAAGATATTAAAAATAGTCTTTTTATACACAATAGAAATAATGCAATGAATAGTCAATAAAATCAGAATTAGCCTGTTTAACCAAACAATGGGATTATATTATCAACAACATGAGAAATTATGTAGGATGTACAAAAATACAGGCACACATACCGATTGTAGAAATCATCTCTGTAGTAATCATAATCAAAGACATAACCACTGTGGAAAAACACAGAAAAACAAGAAAGAACTGTTTTATAGGAAAATACACACTGATTAAAACTTCTGTGGTAATATTGGCTTACTCTCAAATATATATCCCTTCTTCAAAGTCCTTCCACTTCTTTTTTACTGTGCACAATGTACATTATGTTTGTCAATGCTGCTGTCAGCTATCACTGTGTATTTGGAAATGTGAAGTCTGGGGCACATGGAACTGTGTAAACAGTTGACAGCACACACAGATAGGATTTAACACAGTGAGACAGCTCTGTAATTAGAGGATCATTACAGTGTAATTCTCTGTGAGAGTGATCAAATGAAGTTAGCATTCCAAAACTGACGCCCTCTTCTTTTCCGGTCTAACATAGGATGATCAGTGAAGTAGGAAGACAGTTAAATACATGAAAGAGTGGGAAATGAGTGATAAGGTGAGCTAAGACAGTTACTTTGATTTAGAGAAACATGGAAAGGATTGGGCTTCTTGCTACTCCTTGAGTCCACCAAATTGTTTTCATCAAAAAGAGAAAAAGTAAAAAGTTAAAAAATAAATGCTAAATAAGTGCTGCAGGGACACATTTCTTCTCAGGTTTAGGAAGGAATAAACATACCAATCTGAGAAAAGACAGGCACCATCAAGGGAAATGAACAAATGAGAAATTACACAGGTTCATGAGAAAACTACTTGTGAGCTGTTAACAGCAATGTCAGTCCCAGATTCCTGGTTTTGCATTCCATTAGCAACTTTATACTTTCGTGGTGAAGAAATAACAAAGAAGTCTTATCTATCTCATACACCCAAAAAAAAAAAAAAACCAACCAAAAAACCCCCAAACCCAAACCAACAAACCAATGAGCCAGTAAAGGCTCTCTATGGAAAAGTCACAAGGATTTGTTTATACTCAGCCTAGTAAAATGCTCTTTTACTGTTTTGAGAAGGACAATTATGAATAGTAAAGGTAAGAAACATGAAGAAAGTATCACAAAAGAAGGAGAAGCTTTAATTGAGAAAGGAAAAAACTAGAAAAGAGAGAGGTAATAAGGACAAAATACAGAAGAAAACTTTCCCTGAAAATAAAGGGGCACAGTAGAATGATGGTGTGATTTAGGCTGGAAAGGACCTTAAAGATCAACTACATATCAAAGAAGCTTTTCTTTGCAGGGAATGGACTTGTGGATAGTTTCTGCTCTTGAACATTGAGCAAAATGGGGTTTTTAGTGCATACTTTGAAGAATGTGTGAAGAATTCTACCAGAGCAGGTCAGGGCACAATTTCTGTCTCTGCAACACCTCTTTCACATGCAAGTACCCAATTGCAAATAATAGAATATATTGTACTGTCTGCCTGCACAATATTGCAGCAGAAGATCACGAGAGCTGCAGGCATCTGTGACCCTTTCTTTAATTTATTTGAGAAAAGAAATCCTAAGATACATATCATGTGAAACACTGAATTGAACAAGCCTGAGAGACTAGAAACGAGCAGCAGGTAAGCTGTGTGTGGCAGAGGATGTAAAATATCATTAAATAATAGTGGACTGTGTATAGTGATCATGTGTCTGTATCTTAAGATGCATCACTGTATCTTAATGTAAAACTAGCAATTTTTTTTCTGAACTATATGATGGCTCTTATTTTGTCTTTCACTTCAGTCTGCAAGGAACTAAGAAGTAGCAAGTATCAAAGCTATTATTTTATTTACAGTTATTCACAGCTTCCTAGTAGTTTTATTTAGCTGAATGTTTAATAGCTTCAGTTAGACCATAGTTAATATTCAATGTGTGTTTTTAAGTAGAAGATAACAGACAATTTGAAGAAAAACTATTAAATTTAAAAGCCCTGTCACATGAAACCTTTTGCCTGGAGTTGACATTTATTTAATTTGCATAAAGACTGGACAAATTCACTTTTTCAATGTTGAAGACCATGAAGCTGGTGGAGAATAATTCACTGGCACCAGTTAGAGTAAGGCTGAAGAATGACTATATACGGAGTTCTGTAGTAACTCAGCTCTGGCTTACAGAATAGAATAAGGACTGCTGGCCCCTCAATGGGTACGAAAATTTTATGTTGAGTGATGATGTTTCATCTGTAATAATATGTTGAATTGAAGAGATTATAATGTGAAAGCAACCAGTACATCTTTCTACCTACAGCTATAATTGTTCCTACTTCTGCATGTCAAGGTACAGACATAAGACTTGGTCAGTGCTGCAGTACAACACCAAGCAGAAAAGCACAGGTAATCACTGACACTGAGATCAAGGTGACTACATGGCTCTTAACCTCTTGAGAGTAATTCCTTAGCAACCCAACAGCCTGTGTAATGGAGGCCACAGGTAATCACTCACACAGTGCTGAATACCAGATACTCAGCAGGTCAGAAGCAGAGAAAGGTTTAAACAAGCCTGTGAACTGTTGGAGTCAGCAGTTTCCTAATGGCACTGTAAACAGGCAGATTACTTACCCACAAACATGTGCCATCTCGACAATATTAACAATAGAACTGCCTGCATAATGCTGATATTAATGCAGTAGACAGTAAAAGGCACTGCTTTACATGTGTCTCACAATGAGGCAAAGAAAACTCATCAATAAAATGTGCTTCTACTGAACAAAAGTCATGGCTCCTTTTCCTAACTTAGTATCACCAAGACAATCTTGTACAAGCTGTCTTTTTTGGTTTCACTAAGCACTATGCATATTTTTAAAACTGTGCATGCCTGAAGAATAAATGTCTCTCCCATGACCATATTTTCAGAGCTATGATGCTGTGTGTATTCAAAGTTCCTGTGCATATCAGCAGTTGCACATGTGCCAGGCAGGCAAATAGAGTGTTATGCTCCTGCTTCTTTGAAATAAATGTATGGATATTATTATGTCCTTATATACCTGGTGTTGATATCATATTACTACAAAAGTACAATTTTTTTTCCATTCTCTATGCTATGCCCTCAAAAAATGTTTATAAACTAATGATCACATCCTGTCTTAACTTAGGTAGCTCCAAACGTCAGTGGTGTAGCTGACTTCTGTGGGGTTGTTCTAACTTTAGGAGAGTTAATGCAGAATACAGCAGAAATACCTTTTGTTGCATTCCTGTCAACAAGGCTTTTGTCTTCCATTATCAGCCTTAGCTAATATCACTTTTTCTTTCCACAGGTACAAAGATACATTTAAATCATAAATGTTGACAAAATAGGCATAATGTATCTTAATTTAATTGACAGTGCTATTGCCATTTATGCTGTCAGTTTCTTCTCTGTTATGAGGCCTGAATAAAAATATTAAATATAAAAGCAATATTTATTCAATCAAACTCTTTTTGGGAAGCCCATATCAACCTAATGTTTGAAACTAGTATTCCAGTCATTTGTGAAATAATTTCTCATGTCATGGGAAAAGAGTGTTAGAAATTTTTGTTGTTGAGAGCAAAAGAGAATCAGTCTAAACTGATATGATGTTGAAAAGGAAGTTGGTGAGGGTAACTAGGTGATTTAGAGAAGAAGCATTTAAAGATAGAAACTTTCCTCATTAGAAAATCAATCAGATGTAAGTTGCTTCCATAAACTATTGAAAAAAAATGGTGGAGATTTCAGGTCACTTTTCAGTGGATGGTTACCTCCATGCTCAGCCATAAATCAAATTGGTGGGCTGAATCCCACCTTTACTTGAAAGAAAATTCTATTTTAGGTAAGGGTGAGAATGCTGATAGGATGAGAATGCTGATAGAGGTGGAGGGACACTGCTGTCTTGCTGTTCAGGCTGTATATTCTGCAGAGAAAGAGAACATTCTCCAGAGCCTGTTTTTTTGCTGGCAGACTTACTGTCAAAAGTCAAGTTATTTCAGTGATTCTTTCAACTAGGAAAAAAGAGGGGGCTGGAAGAGGAAAAATAGTTGCAGAGAAGTATTTTACATTCATTTCCATAATGAAGTTATGAGGGCAAATAGGTATAGCTAAAAAGAACATCTTAACCCCAAAATCCCCAATCACTTGTCCCAAAATGCCAAACAATTGAACATAACCTACTATTTGTATATTTCAATTAATGATTAAATTGCATAGTAATTTTGTAACCATAAGTTAATAAAAGTTTTTTTTGTTTTTTTCCCCTAATTCTGCACATATATTCAATTAATAAGAGCAATATGCACTTTCTCCTGAGTGGGGAAAAGATAAGGAGTTAAGTTTCAATAAGTGCATCTTGGAATGTAATACTTTAAGTGGATTTTTTTTCTGTAAAACTGAATTTTTTTTTCCAGTTCTAACCTGAAGAGGTGCATTTTGTCCAAGAAGGACATATATACATTAAAAAGTTGACATACAGTACACCATTTTCCATTAAAGTATCTTTCTGCAGGCACTAGGCAGAATTTATTTGCAATATGATTAGGCTGTATTTTTAGGCTGTATTTTTTCTGTCTCTAGATATGCTCCTTCTCTACTGTCATCCTCTCTTCCAAGAACTCTTATGCCAGTGAAATATATTTTGGGAAAACTGTTGAACTTATTGTGCAACCTGAATTTTAGACAAAGCTTGGGCAAATATTCAAAGTTGCATATACACATTCAGGTAATTAAAACACTAAGACATTTTTCTGTAGAGGATTAGGCAAAGCTTGTGAAGCAGACAAGGACAAAGACATTGAGATCAATATTCAGACTCTGGGGATCAGCTGGTTTCAGAGCTGTTTATGGAAGCAAGACAGAATAGTGATGCAGGCAAAACTAACCCCCAACAGCTTTCTGAACAGCTAGGTATTAAAATTCCTCCTAACCAAAACTACTTACTCTGGCTGCAGGCACAGCCTATGCTTAACAATGTTATCCTGACGCTCTTTAGAAACAAAACAGTAATTTTCCAATGTAAAGATACTTGTGTAAATCTACTTAATATCTCCCCAACTTTCTCCTGTTGCAAAGCTATTTTTCTGTCATCTAAACTATTGTCCAATTATTTATGTTTCCTGTGGGAACATTTCATAGTAAGGCAAAGAA